TGCCATGCAACTATAAAACATGCTATCTTTAGTTCCAGGGAAAACTGCATATGGCTTAACAAATCCTATGTTTATTTTCTCTCAAGTATTTGCTTACATACATAACTAGAATGGTTGGGGGGGGCAGTTATTTCTTCAAAATGCCTGATATTACACATTGCAATTAGAGGCTATATTTGCTGGGAAAAACAAATTAGTAAATTTATCTTATGATTCACTTGATGACTACATGTTTTCTTATAAACCAGTTGATATTATTGCTTTTGGCAGACATACAAGGTTATATTAATTTAATATTAGTTTTTATGATTCATATTTGATTTTATAGTTGATACTTTTAAGCTGTTAGAAACACTAAATGCTACTGAGTGAAAATACTGTAGATCAATAACCTGGGTTGAACTGTAAGCCTAGATGTAAAGTGCAGACTTTATACTTTTGGTTAATTGAAGTGAATTCATTTATTTTAGGTATTAAGAGAGTTCAATTTTATCAATCATATTTACTGATATCTATTATATACATAATACCATGTGAGAATCTGGAGAGGATATTAAAGAGGAATATGGAACATGGTTTCTACCATCAAGGCACTGTGTGGTTAGGTAGACAATTTACCATATATGCAAATTCAAAACTCTCTTGTAAAGCACTACTTATAGTACAATAGATTGTATTTTAGGAATTCAGGAAAAATAGGGATTAGGTGAGCTGGTGGGCCAGCCTCTCTAGATCAACCTTAATCTTTTTCAGTTTTTCCTGGTGGTATCGGTAGCCTGGGCCATATCAATAGAGACTTTCTTTCCTCTGGCATCTGGTTTAGTTCAATGTTGATTTGAGGCAGGAAGGAGAATGAGGTCAGGGTAGGCACATTTGTGGGGTCTGAGGCCAGAGTACAAATGGAGGCCCAATACCATATCTTTTTTTTTTTCTTTTCTTTTAAGTGGCTTTAACTCAGGACCCTGAGACCATGACCTGAGAGCAAGAGTCTGATGCTTAACCAACTGGGCCACCCAGGGGCTCCAGATACCATATTTTAATTACTGAAAACTAACTAAAACTAATTGCTTTAAAAACAGATTGTCAAATAATATATGTTCTATCCTCCTATTTTAACTAATAGATTTTCATAATGATCTGAAAGGTGAAGTTCAAATTTAGAGTTCCTCAGTTCATCAGAGTTCCACACTAGAGAGTTGGGACATGGGAAGAAACAAGGCTGCCTGCAGCCTACCCCATTATATACTATATTCTTACCCAGCTTTGTATATTCCCACACCCACTTGCCCTGCCCCAACTTTTCTTGACAAAGAGCTGCTCCTTGACTACCCCCAGAGATAGGGTTGTGTGCTCTGGCAGTGCTGGCTGCCTGGACCCTAGGAAAGCCTATACAGGTTTCCGGAAGGAGACTTGGGGACACTTGGGAGGGAAATCTGGGATCCTGGGTATTATTAAAGGCGTGGTCTAGAAGGGACAGCATGGGTCCTGGGTGGCCACTGCCCCTTGACTCTGTGGACTCCATACCTTGTAGGGTTTTGTGCAGCTGGAGGGGGGCTGGAGCAGGGGCTCCTTTTGCTCAGGTCTAAGAATATTGGGTCAGGCTATCCATTTTCCCAGCTGCTTTTCTTCTAGATTGCCTCTGCCTAGAGGCTTCCTCCAAACAAATGTCAACAGGTCCTCTTAAGGTGTTTTTGCCTATAGAACTTTTTAATTCCTTACCACTTTGGACTTTGGGATAGAAATAGCCCTGGGGTACATACTATACTCTGTGTTAGGAGTATATCTTGACTACCACCTGCCCAGTCCCTTTGTTAAACCATAACCAAATATTCTTAATTTGAGTGTACCATCTGTTTCCTTCTGTGACTATGTCTGATACAACTGGTTCCCTAAGTGAGATTGTACAGGAAGTTGAAGTTAATGTACGCCTCAAGGAACACGTTCAGTTTCTAGGCAAAGAAGGACAGGATTTGGAAATTAAAGGGAATTGAAGGGCTGTAGAATCCACCCTTCCCATCCTATGCCAATACTTTTGCTCTGCTTGATATTTTATTTGACACAGTTTATTCTTTGAAGTTTTTATTTTCACATCCTGTGTTCCCTCACACTTCTTAGATATTGAGAATGTACCTGCCATATACCCTAGGAAGACTCAATTCTCATCCTTTTATTCTCTTTTAAAACTAAAAATCAGTAATATAATTTATGAATATATTTGTATTCTCATTAATTCAAAGTAGGTGAATTATGTTTGAAGTCTTAAAAATTATAGAATAGATAAGTATAATTTTAAAATGATTATGTTTAAAACATTCATAAATATCAGATTTTTTTCAAAATTTTAAGTTCTAGTTAACATATAGTATAATATTGGTTTTGGGAGTAGAGTTTAGTGATTCATCACTTACGTATAATGGTCAGTGCTCATCACAAGTGTCTTTCTAAATACCCACCTCCCCTCCACAACCCTCAGTTCTCTATAGTTAAGAGTTTTTTTTATAAAGGCTTGCTTCCTTTTTTCCCCTCTTCCCCTATGTTCATCTATTTTGTTTCTTAAATTCCACATATGAGTGAAATCATATGGTATTTGTCTTTTTCTTGCTGACTTATTTTGCTTAGCATAATACACTCTAGCTCTATCCACATCATTGCAATGTCAAGATTTCATTCTTTTTGACAGCTGAGTAACATTCCAACACACTACATGTTCTTTGTCCACTCATCAGTTGATGGGCATATGAGCTCTTTCCATAATTTGACTATTGTTGACAATGCTACAAACACTGCCCCTTCCAATCAGTATTTTTGGATAAATACCTAGTAGTGCAATTGCTGGGTCATAGGGTAGTTCTATTTTTAACTTTTTGAGAAAACTCCATACTGTTTTCCAGAGTGGCTGCACCAGTTGGCATTCCCACCAACAGTGTAAGAGGGCTCCCCTTTGTCTCTTCCTACTTTAATCAAACTTTAGTGAGCTTTTTATTCACACAATATATTGTGAAGCTATCTGGCTTTCACTTGATGGGAATGCATCATTTACACATTAGGTTTTCTCTACTCTTTTCTCAGCACCATACAAAGTAATAGTATTTGGTGCAATAGCAATCATAAACACAAAGGCAAATTCAAGCCCTGGGATCCTGAAGTAGTATTCCATTTTCAGAGAGTATGAACCGGAATATTTTTATATTAAGTTTTAAAGTCCACATGAACTGGAATATGTTTACACTAATTTTAAGTCATAGAACATGAAAACAAAAATATTAAAATTATCCTAAAGAATAGATCCTCTCCCTATTCTAGGACATCTGCTCTGCTAACCTTAATTTGGGAAACATGGATTTTTCAGGACTGAATTGATGTGAGGAGGGAGGGAACCAGAAAAAGTTTGGTGTAATAACTCAAAGATGTCTGGTTTGGGTTACTAAGTACATTATCCTATTTTCTGAAATCAAGAGTTTAAAAAAAAGATGCTTTGAGTGAAAAGGATTAGTTTGTACAATCTCACTTTGAGTTTTCTGCAGTACTCTCCCCTTGCGGTAGTATGAGCTGCAGATATAAATTTGGAAGTCAATAACATCTACTGAAACCAAGGGAATAGGTGTGGTCATTAGGGAGAGCATGCAGAGTAAGAGAAGATGGCTAAGGAAAAATAATAGCCTTTAAGAAAACAGTTCCTGGAAAGTAACAGTTAGAAAAAGGGATAGAGGTAAGTTAAAACAGAAGCATGTTTTAAGACTGGAATGGTTGAGGCTGTCAGATGCTCTAAAAGGTCAAGTAAGATAAAGACTGAAAAGAGTTAATCATACCTGATGATTAAGAAGCTGATCATAGTACAAGCAATTTCAGTGGAGTGTCGGGCCAAAGTCTGATCACAGCACGTCTAAGAGCAAAGGGGGAAGTGAGGAAGAGCAGCCTAGAAGTCAAGATTGTTTTTGCTTTGTTGTGAAGATGTAGCTAGAGGCAAGTACAAAGGTGGGACTTGAAAACAGTGTAAAAGATTTGGGCTTCTGACCACCAGTGAGTGGCACCAGATGGGGAGGGAAAGGACAAGAGCCAACAGGTAGCTTAACAATAGAGATCTTAAGAATCCTTGAATCACTATATTGTACACCGGAAACTAACAACACTGAACCTTAATTATACTAGAGTTGAAAAAAAAAAAAAAAAGAGATGTTAGAAGAGAGAAGTGCAAGGGTCAAATAAAAAGAGATTTCTTCGGAGTTTGGAGACCAGAGGTGCGTGAAGTTACACAGAGGGGTGGGGAATTGAGGTGGCTCACACACTGCACAGAATAGCTCCAGTTTTTCTCTGCAGAGTAAGAGGCAGGGTGCTCTGCACAGACCCAGAAGCGGGAGTGGAGCACATGATTTGGGAAGAGCGCTGAACCTTTGGGAGAGAAAACTGCCGGAGGGGGTGGGGATGGGGGTGGGGGATAAAAAGGGTTACTGAGAGGCGCCGAGACCCGGCTGAGAGAGTTTGACTATGAATTTAATGCGGCACCAGTCTCAAAACTTTCCCTTCCAACTCGGCCCCGCAGGGTGTGAGGCTCAGAGAAGGCCGATGAAAGCTGACTCCTACCTTATTCCCCATCCCCAATGGCCCAGTCCTGTGTGAGGTCTTACCAGAAAGGCCAGCGTGTTTGCATTCTAAGATGTGTTCTGTAGCTTCAGCATCCCAAGGCTTTTACGGAAATCTTGGCATTTTTTAAAAGGCGGGGAGAGAAGCCGGTAGATGAGAATCGGGAATGGGCCCAACTTTTCCTGTCTCCAGATCCCCGCGTTGGGAGGGCAGGTGGCCGCTGCGGCCCAGGTGCCTCTCCTCGCGAGGAAGGAGGGGGCCGCTGACCCGGCGCGGCCAGGCGGAAGCACCTCTGCCATTGGCCCAGCGGCGACTTTTACCTGCGCGGAGCCCCGTGGCCTGAGCTCAAAGTCCGAGGCATCCAGCCGGGGAGGCGGCGGTTGGCAGTACAGGTGGGCTCCCGCCCTTGGCTAGGCAAGATGCCCCTGGGGCTGCGGAGAAAGATGAAAACCAAGTCCAAGGAGACCGCTCGGCTGGTGAAGGGCGAGCAGGCGGGCGCGAGCGGCGGCAGCCTCCCGGACCCCCCGGTTCCGACACACAAGCTGGTTTTCCACACGCAGCTGGCGCACGGCAGCGCCACGGGCCGAGTGGAGAATTTCTCCAGCATCCAGGAGCTCTACGCCAAGATTGCGGCAGTGTTCGAGATTTCGGCGTCGGAGGTAAGGACCAGGTGCTCCGGCTCAGCTTGGCGCGCGCGCGCCCCTCTTGTCTTCCACGTGCCGCACCGGCTTAAATTGGCCCCGGCTGGCGGGGCGCCGGGGTGTTGAGCCCGGCATGGAGTCCACCTGCAGCGCTGGTGGGGCACTGAGAGGGCCTCGCGGGAGGGGAAAGGTAAGTCCCAGCCCCGAGAAGGTCACATTCCTCAGGCCCCTGGCTTTTGGGAAACCGGAGGCGATCTTTCTTCCTCATGTAAGTGAATATGCTTTACTTGTCCCAGAGTTAGCCGTTCGGGGCGTGAGCGCCTCCCCAGAGTGGAGTTCCGGCTGGGCAAGTTGACACCCTCGACTGCATCTGGACTTTACTCTCCTTCCTATGCAGTCGGGAGAGGGTCACGCTGAGGATCTCCCAGATTGAGGAGGGGAGAGATAAGTACCTTCCAGGTGATAGCGAACCGAGGTCCCCTTAGCCCCACAGGTGTCAGCACCAAACACCAGAATCCCTTTGGTGGTGTCACCAAGGAATTTGTTGTACCAAGGGTGGATAACTAGAGAGTATTATAGCTAACTACTTGGGACTAGTTAACACAACTTTCAGAGGGAAAATCAGCTCAAAATTTTGCACCATATTTTTGAAAAGGGGCTGCAACTTGCTTTAATTAGAATGGCTACCTGCGTGCCTGGAGCTGGAGTTGGCCGTGGGCGTGATTCAGAAAGAACTAGTTTATGTGGCTGTTTATGGGGCTATTTTATGCTTCCTCCCGCGAAGTGCAAATGTAAGTCAGCACAAAAAAATATTTTGTCCGCATTTCCAGGAAGAGCACGAGATGTTGCCCTGGACTCCAAGGAGGATAGAGAGCTGCCTTTGAATGGCACAGAGGTGCATTTGATTTCTGTTGTTTAATGTTGTTTATCAGACCTGTTCAAGTAAAATTGAGGTCACGGCAAACTTCCAAGGGGAGATGAAAGAGCGCTTGAAGTGTAACCTTTTGTTCTTTCAGGTTTCCCAGGAGCCGAGGGGCAAATCACAAACCCATTTTGTGAATTATTTATATTGATTTAGAATAGTAACAATATTTTAAGGATATTTCAATTTCAGAAAGCTCTATTCACAAGAACAAAGTCCTTTAGGAGAGGCAGGTGGCACAGGTAGTTCATTGGGTAGCCAAGGACAGGATTTGGAGACCCATAAGCCTGGATGTGAGTCCAGGTTCTACTACTTACTGGCTGTGTGGCTTCGAACAAGTTTAATTTCCCTCCCTTTCAGCCATGTATAAAACAGATGAGAACAGGAATGTCTGGCTGGCTCAGTTGGTTGAGCAGGCGACTCTTGATCTCTGGATTAGGAGTTCAAATCCCACACTGGGTGTGGAGATAAAAGTAAAATCTTAAAAATCAGGTAACATCTACCTTGAAGCGTTGTAAAGACTGGGGTTTGGGGACATCTGAGTGGCTCCACTGGTTAAGCATTGGACTCTTGATTTTGGCTCAGGTAATGATCCTGGGGTCATGAGATCGAGTTCCGTGTTGGGCTCTGCACTGGCATCATGGAGCCTGCTTGGGATTCTCCGTCTCCTGTCTCCCTCTCTCTTTGCCTCTCCCTATTCATGCACACGTTTTCTCTCTCAAAAATAACCTTAAAAAGATGGAGTTCCTATATAATAAACTTACCAGACTGCATGGTACATGGTCTGTGCTTAACAAATTGTAACTAATATTACTAATACCTAACAGGTGAGGAGCTAAGTACAAAGTGATTGGGTCTTTGCAAGGTCACATAACTAACAAGAAAAAAAACCTGGGATGTTACTTAAACTTGGATCTTCTGGTTTCTAAGCTAAGTAACCTTGTTAGCATATTTAACTGACAACTTTAAATGTCTCTCCTGTATCCAGGAACTCTAGATTTAGTTGCTTTGCATTAATAGTCTTCGTTATCAATATTGAGAGCTCAAGATGCATGACTTTATTTAATCCACTTAATTCCTGAAAAATATTACTATCATCACTGCTTCAGAGAAGAAACAGGTGTTTAGGTTCTCAAACTTTTCAAAATTACACGAAGTAGTGGAGCCTGGGTTTACACCCAGGTGTATGTGTATGTCTCCTGACTCCAAATTCCACAAACCTCTATTACTGTATTGCTTCCCAAGTTTTCCAGGGTGTCTGACAGCTTCGCAGTCATTTTCAGTGTTTTCAGTTTCAAATGCACTGAATTAGATAAAATTCCAAGATAATCTAAACCTGCTATATCAAAGTTGATTTATTTTTCTGATTCCAAATATGTTACTTTATGTATACAGCCAACATTAATGTGAGTTTTCCATTTGGATTAAGAATAGTTAAGTATATCCAGGATAAAACACTGGTCATCATAGTATAGTATATCCTAAATATGTCCATAGTTCATTTTGAAACAAGTAATTTATTAAAATGCACTATGGTGAGCTCCCATTTCCCATCTCCTTTCCCCCTGCCCTCAAGGGGGAAATCCTAGTATAAACTTTCGAGTGGTCAGGGGGAACAAAACAAAAAATTACCCCCTTTTTTTTTCAACGATTGTTAACTCTGAAGTCCTGCCTTTTTCCTAGAGAGGTGGCTATAAGGTTATAAATAGCACTGTATAAAAAGTTGAACCTTCTTTAAGGAGGGGGAAAAGGAAGGACTAGGCCTGACCTGATTTCAGGTGTGGCAGATTTACTGGGAGTTCATAACATGCCCATGGCTGTGCTAGGCATGCAAGTCTACAGTGTGGTCATTCCATGCTCACCATAGCGATGGCGTAAGGGTTCTTTTCATAGTTAAGTTAAATGAGGCTTTGAGAGGTTAAGTAGCTTGCCCAGAGTCACTGAGCTGGTATTGGACAGAACCAGGATTTGAATGCAGGTTTCCTGGTTCCAAGTCCATTACATGGCAGCTATGAGGATCTTGGTAACTGCATTCAAATTCCAAATGCAAACCCAGAAGAACTTATTTTAAAGCCTCAGACTTACCCACAAAAATACTGTCTCAAAAAAAAATGCTGTTGTGAAACTAATTTGGATTTCACCTATTTCAAGGTCTCTGAAGGAGGAAGCTAAGGAAATTATGAATCTAAGCTATGAATCACTTGTAGGCTGCAGTCTGTGATCATTACCTTGAAACAGATGGCCAATTATGCAGAAATCCCTTTCAGCTGATATTTTTTCTAAACCACTAAATGAGCAATTCAATAAAAAGAGAAAAGTCTTGCCTAAAAGAGCAGTTCACTTCTGTAAATGCAGAGATACTTTTACAAAAGGTTTAATACAATCTTTTAAAATATTCAGGTTATATAAAAGAGTTGATCATTAAACGCCTGAGCTTTAGTCATAAAATTTGTTGAAGGGGCATTTTGAATATTTGACCACTGTGATTGTTTGACAATAGTTTATTCCATGACCTGTTTTCTTAATTCTCTATTATGTGGAAAGATTGGAGAAAGGTAATCTGAACAAGCATTTAGAGAAATCAGTTTTGTAGTTAGATACCTTACATTTCCAGAAACCGAAACCTTAGTTTCCTTACAAATCTCAGAAATAATTTCCTTTGATTTGGTTATATTTGTACATATATATGTTACTAAATCATTGAATGAATGGGTCAAGCAAATCTAACTTCTCAATTATGTAAAGCAAGCCAGTAAAGCAGTATTCTTGGGAAGATCAGATTTTAGTTTCAAGAATTGTGATTTTAATTTCAAGCTATTTTTTTATGCAACCTGCAATTCTGTTATTCCTCTCAACAAAGCAAACCTTACCTTTTCACCTGTCCCATCTCATCTGTTACCCCATTTCTATAGTAAATCTCAAAAGTTGCCTCCCGTGAGGCACATTCTGTATCACTTCTATCTGTTCAAAACTCTGATAGCTCCCCATCTCACTTATAGCAAAAGCCGAAACCTTATGGGCTACGGGCCCTGATACCTCTCTAATATCATTGTTCCTTCTGCTCTAGCCAATCTGGCTTCCTAGCTGTTCCTTGAATTCTGGAGCCTTAGGGCTGTTGTCTTTACCAGAACCTCTTTTTGCAGAATGTTGTTCCTCTTAGTCTGCTCAAATGTCACCTTATCAGTGAGCCTGGTACTGATCATCCCATTTAAAATGACAGCATCCCTGTTCCTTTTCTTCCTTAATTTTCCCTGATACTAACATCCTATGTATATTGAACTTACTTGTCTTTTTCCTCTCCTATGTAGAATATAAGCTCCACAAAGGCAAGGATTTTGTCTATTTACAGACCTAGCCCCAAAGGGCCTATAGTTGTATCCAAAACAGAGCTCAAATATTCATTGAATAATGAATCCTCACTGTACTTAAAATCCTGTAGCTTTAGTATGAAGCTTTAGTACTAGTTATAATACTGCTATCTTCTATAGATGTTAATTTTTTCATATTGCAGTGTGAAGAAAGACTAGTTTATTGATTTTGTGTGTGTGAGACAGAGAGAGAAAGAGAGAGAGAGAGAATGAATACAAGTGGAGGAGGGGCAGAGAGTGGGAGACTCAGAATCTGAAGCAGGCTCCAGGCTCTGAACTGTCAGCGGAGAGCCAGATGAGGGGCTCAAACCGACAAACCGTGAGATCCTGACCTGGGCCGAAGTTGGACACTTAACTGACTGAGCCACCCAACGCCCCAAGAAAGAATAGCTTTTGATGGAGGTAGGAGTGAGGAGCATCCCTCATATCTTGAAGGTGGAGGGGAGTAAGAGGGCAAAGTATGGAAACTGGGAAGCTAAGATTTATTTTTATCTAATTCTTGCGTCTCTAAAAATTCCAGAAATTATGAAGTTGAAGACTTTGTTTACAAGCAGAATTGCTTCCTAGCTGAGTTAGTGAAGCTGCCTTGTGAAGTTTCCCAGAAACTGCTTTTTTTCAACTTGCTGGCATCAGCACTGAGCTCTTGTGAAAGTCAATATTCTGTATTTATGTGGCACATCTGGAGAACATGAACTGCACTGCAGACTTTATAATTTCCCAGCAATGCA